ATTAAATTAAATCCAATTATTTAGTGAGACATCAAATAACTTTTTTTTTTTATCAATTTAGTTCATAAAATCTTTAGGTCAGAAGACCCTGGAGCATTGCTCTTACTCTCTTTTGATGATTGTAAAGGAAAAGAAACCTCTAACTTCCTCCTTCTAATTTCAGAAAGCATATGCGTATGCAGATGAGGATGAAGGCAGACCAGCCCATGACTGCCTGCTCATCTACGATCACGAGGGCGTGGGCTCTTCCGTGGGCTCCATTGGTTGCTGCAGTTGGATTGTGGATGATGTAGATGAAAGCCACATGGAGACTTTTGATCCAAAATTCAGGACTCTTGCTGAAGTCTGCCTGGACACAGAAATCGAGCCCTTCCCTTCACACCAGGCCTGTATACCCATCAGTACTGACCTTCCTCTGCTCGGCCCTAATTACTTTGTTAGTGACTCTTCAGGAATGACTCTGTCAGAGGCTGAATTCCAAGCAGAGATGGCAGCGGCATCTGAGCCCATAATTCACGGGGATATCATAGTGACTGAGACCTACACTACTGGTGACCCCTGTGTACAACCCACGACAATTGTTTTTGATCCTCAGCTTGCACCCAATGTGGTGGTAACCGAAACGGTAATGGCACCTGTCTATGATGTTCAGGGGAATATCTGTGTACCCGCAGAAATAGCCAACACACACAATGTGTACTATGCTGAGAGAGTAATGGCTAGCCCTGGTATGCCAGACATGAACAACAGCAACATGACTGATGCTTGTATGGCGCCCGTGATGAGTGGAGGTATCTTGGTAGGACCAGAAATTCAGGTGACACAAGTGGTGAGCCCTGACATTCACATTAGCCAAACCATGGGCTCCACTTCCCCCGTGGCCTCTCGACAGCGAGTAACACGATATAGCAATATACATTACTCCCAACAATGAGCACTTCGTGATCGCTATTCTACATGGAGATCTCACACCCAAATGATTATCAACATGCCCAACACAGACACAGAATGTGCAATAGTCGACATTTTAGCACTCATCATTCACCTATTCTAAGCTCAATGTGGCTCTTTGACTGCAGCTTTTGGAGAATAAATGTGACTCAGCACTTTAGGTGAGCTCTTCTAGTTCTACTCTCCATGATGAGACAGAACAGAGTGTGTTACATGTATGCTTTGGTTCTGTCTAATAAGCAGCACACAACTCACTGTGAAAATCCTAAGTCATGAGGCTGAAGCAACCACTACCGAAACGAAGATGTCCGTGTGCTTAGAAGAAGTTGCACGTGAAGTTTTATCTGTATCCTCCAGCTATGTTTTTTTCATTAGAGAAATATTTCATTTAAAGAACTTTGACAACTGGGAGGGTAGCTCAGTAGTAGAATGCTTGCCTAGCACTCCTGGGTCCAGTCTCAGCACCAGAAAAAATATTTAATTGGAACAGTGAATTAAATGTGAATTTCAGAAAGGAAATTGAAAAAGAAATATGGAGCATGTCGATATGAATTAATTTGTTTCTTCAAATAGTTTTTCAAGACACAACATTATTCATTAGAGCGTGCCTTATAGAAGAAAAGAGTTTGCTGGAAATTGTTCCTCAAAAGGATATGTGCATACATATAGCAAAAGTATATACATATATAAATTTTATTGCACATTGATTTTTTAATTGCAAATTAATTTAGAATTGAAAAACCAATACCTGTATAATAGAAACAGATCTTAAGGAAGTATTAGCATTCGCCCCTTATTAGGAGTTGTTCCTACTTTTGCTGATCATGTCACCAAAAATACAGAATACAGCTTAACTGGTTTCATTGACCTGAGTCACAGTGGTTTCATCTGGCCACCAGAAGCACTACAAACACAAGTCTATAACTAGATTTTTAACAATATTGACTTAGAAACTGCTAGGTATTGAGTGTTTGGCTCTGCGAATATGGAAGCAGAGATTGATACCTTCCCCATGTTCTCAGTCATTTCTAGCCTCTAAGGAAAAGCTCAAACATATGATTTTGAATTCCTGCCAGGAAGTGAACAGCTCAAGATCATTCCCAAGCTGTCTCTTTCCAATACCAATTATATTGAATGAATGAATGACATGGAAACACGGACACAGACTGCTTGTTTTTAGCAGACATACAGCTGACTTAAAAAGAAACTCTAGAACAGTTTTATTTAATTCTGTAAAATATGTAAACTATGCAGTAGAAACAAACACGTGAGTGGAAAGACTGTAAATGAAATGAACTTTTCAGGGATTATTATTCTTTTAAGAAGGAAATAGTGGTAGAACTTACTTTTTCATTATTGTTCATTTAGGAAAAAGCTAGTGTAGTCTTTGAGGTGACTGACATGAGCTTTTACCTAATCCTCTCATTTTATACACAAGAAATCAAGAAATAGAGAGGCTAGGTAGCCATAATCTGTTAGTTGTAGTGAAAGCTGTGGACCCATTGCTCTTATATACTGACCAGTGTTTCATCAGAACAAAAAGATCTGGGACTGACAAGATGGCTAAGCGGTGAAGGGGCTTGCCACCAAGCCTGACAACCTGTTTTGATCCCCAAACCCCACATGGTAAAAGCCACTCCTGAAAGTTGTCCTCTGACCACCCCCCCACACATACATATAAGTAAATAAAAGTAAAAAAAAAAAATATTTAATGCAGAAAATCTTTGCCAGGTGTGGTAGCACATGCCTTCAATCCCAGCACTCAAGAGGAAGAGGCAGGTGGATCTCTGTAAGATTGAGGCCAGCCTGGTCTACATAGTGACTTCCAGGCCACCTATGGCTATAGGGGGACTGTCTCAAAAAAAAAATCCAATTTTATCTATTGCATGGATCTCATTGTTTGCTAGTTAGAATAGAAAGGAGCTCTTTTAAAGTTGGGTTAATGAAGTTTCAGTTCAGAATAGCTAAAATGTTGTAATGCTAGAAGATGATTGACCCACTCTTAAGTAATTATTTACCAAAACTATTTCATAATAGTTTCCAAATAACACATACTGTTATAACCATTTTAGCTATTCCCATCAAAGATTCAGTTACGTTTATCTACTCCAATTTGGTGAGCTCCTCCGGACAGCCCAGCAGCTCTGGCTCCATGGTCAGTTTGTTGATAACACTCTGAGACTAGCTAACCACAAAGTGTCTCACATGCACTCAGTTTTGTGGTATATCCTGACCTGGGCATTGCTCACTTGAGGTATGCATTCTACTGGGGCAAAAGTTCTAAAAGTGAGGGAAGAACTGATGACTCGCCAAACATAAAATGCTAGTTTGGTTGAACAGAAAAGTGACATGTGAGTAGAGAAGAAGAAAACAGACCCACTCGTGGGAGCATGGGAAAATTTCTCTCTGAACTTTTTCTCCTTTGCCTTTACCAAAACAATTCAAGGAGCATCCAAAAGAAGCGTGGTGGGTCCTTCCTCCACACGCTCCGTGGATTCAAGATCATCATTCCATTTTCTCCTTCCACGTTATCAGTCAGCAAGAAATCTTCCACGGTGCTGATGTTGTCAGGACTGTTTCATGCACATCCCCAGCTTCTGAAATTGGCTTGTTTGTAAACATCTCAAATAAAATGATCTCCTTCACTGCACAGGACTTAGAGTATTGGTTTGACTGGGCAGTAAACTTGACATGGCATTTATGTTAAGGCTTGAAAAATGAGCCTGGAAATCCAGAAAATGAAATTCAATAAATATAATGGCATGTATCTGAGTCATACTGCCTGAGTGTGAAATTCCTCAAGGAGATAGCATTGTTGAATGATACTGGGCTTGAGTGAAAAGAAAGGAAAACGCTTAGAATATGAGACTATTTATAAATTTATTCAAAAAAGGTCACTTAAAACTTCCCTTTGGACTAAATATTTCTGATTGCAATGTAATACTGCATGTAATGATGTTTTATATACTTCTTCAATAAAAATATTTGCGAAGACAGTGAAAGTGTTTCCCTTGATTCCTGGTTCACTATTCCGTGCATAAACACAGACACACATATTCAGAAAACCTTCTCCTTTACCTGTTGCCTCTTAGGCAATGCTTTTCTTTATTTTGGGCTTCACTCAGGAGTGTGGGTTCATGTGTCAACTGAAATTCAGAACAATTCATTTCTTTTAATATTTTATTTTTACTTTATGTGTGCCATGCAGTACCTGCAGCGGTCAGAAGGCGGCGTGAGATTCCCCTGGAACTGGAGTCATGGATGCTTGTTAACTACCATGTGGGTGCTGGAAATCAAACCTGGGTCCTCTGCAAAAGCAGTCAGTGTTCTTAACCATTGAGCCATCTCTCCAGCCCTGACAATTCATTTCTTTATCACTGGCAGAATTATTGTTTTGTGAATGAGTATTACAAAATAACAAATAAACTGAATAAATATCAGAAATTGCTCTAGACATTGAAATTATAGACCTAAGTACCATCTCTTCACATCTGTGTTAAAATGAAACAAAATTATTGCTATGTTTTTTTACTAGACTAGAAAAGAATAAGTAATATCATTGGCAGTATGACTCCACAGCAAAATTTGATGAAATAGAATTTTGTCTAACAGAGACCCCAAAGGCATAAGAGCCAAAACCACAGGATATACTCAAAGACAAATGTCAAATATAAAGTCTAAATTGAAATAGGAATTATAAGTAATCATATAGGAAGCCATTTTAAAATTATAATTATTATACTAATTACTCAAAATATATTATCCTATTGAATTCTCAAAACACTATATGATTTATACCCATGTCACAGATGAAGACCTCAAGAGTTTAAGAAGAATAGTTAAATCAAATCCAGAACTACCTTACTTCAAACACTATTTTTTTACCAAATTTTATCACTTTAATCCTGGAAGGATGTTTGAAAAGCAGATTGAAAAGGTTCTTACTTCCCAATAGGGAACTGTATAGGAATGATTTTTACAATATGAACATAATCTGGCCTAAAGACTTTTATCTAACCTTGCAATCAAAAAGTTACTGTTTATAAACAAGCTCACTGAGCCATGCACTCCTCTTGTGACCTGGGAAGATGATCCTGATCCCTCAGGGCCCCTCCTTGCCTTAAACCCAAGATAATGTAAGAGAGTATATGAATGTGAATTTGCGTGCTTTGTACATCAAAGGACTGAAAGCAGCACCTTTTCTCATTGCAAACAATGAGAGAAATTGAGTGAGTGTGATATTCTAGGCCTAGGGATCAAAGGGCAAGATTCTCTGATAAATAAGGGTGGGTCCTGGCTTCTACCTCTCCATTTCCTGCTGGAGATACTGTTTCAATAAAAGAATGAGGGAACCCTGGTGTGGGAGCGCAGTTCTGATAAGCATCTGAAGGAACAGGTGCTCTGCAATTCAGGTCTGCTCTTAAAAATGAATGCTGAGTCAGGCTTTATCTCTTTACGCATCACCATAATATGGCTTAGAAATGCCACGGGATTGGATTTAACTCAGTGGAAAATGGAGAGTCAATGATATTTTTGTAACATGAATGGCCAGGTCCTGTTTGATGAGATGACTCTAGAACAGACTTCTGAATTCATTATGATAGTTGGTGTGCTGTTGATCACCTTGACACAGAGACAACGACGGGACTACTTGGGCAGAGAGCCTAATTTCTGTGGTGATCAGGACCTAATAAACCAATATTCCAAGTCTAAGAAGTCATTTAGATCATCACTAAGGTAAACAGATACATGCTGGGCTGTCTGTCCTGATGCCCACAGGTGTGGTAGTACATGCCTGTTATTACATAGGAAGCTCAAGGCATCTTTAAGATACATGAGATCCTATTTTTAAAAAAGGTGGAAGGAAGAAAGGGGGAAAAGAGAAGAGTAAGAAATGACAAAAGGGAAGTGTTGCCATTTCCCAGAAGTGGTGCCTCTTTTCTCCACTGTCCAGCCTGCTTGCTTAGTTCATGCTCCTTCCTT